TGGTTCTTTGTATAGTTCTGGGTTTTTTAGAGCTACTGAGCCCTCTCAGAATTCGGAAACCCTTAGTTTGACACAAAACTCTTACACAAAAAAACTTAAAACTTTCAAGAGTTTTAGATTTACCATTTTATACCCTAACTAAATGTAAAATGTTGCATGTAATGTTGCAATGTATGTAAATGATTTCAATATTTTTGAAGCGAACTTCTACGAATATCAGCACAATAACTTTACATCCTATTTGAGTTTTATAGTTAAATCTTGATTTAATTGTGCTTGGAAAGTCACCTGTTCACACTTTTACTGTGGTTTAGCAGATGTAGAAGCTAAGATATAGAATTTAGGCAAAGTTGTCTATTATTTAATGCAGTATATGTATGGATATAGAAGTATGTCCTTAAACCATTGTAAAATAGACAGAAAAGTGACCAGTGCCAATATTCATATACATTAATCACTCACTCACTATCAGTAGGCTCTTTATCCTGGTCTGGGTCACAGAGGATCCAAAGTGTATCCCGGGAATACTTGGCAGGAGGTGGGAATACACCTTTGGTGGAATGCCAGTCAATCACAGGGCATCATGCAAACACAAATTCGCACACTCATTCATACCTAGGGGGCTAATTTATCTTTTATCCACCTAGTGGTGTGTTTTTGGGAGGTGGGAGGAAACCGGAGAACCCAGAGGAAACCCATGTGTTCACGGAGAGAGCATGCGAAACTCAACAGAGGCACTAACCCAAGCTAAGGATCAACCCATGGAGCTGGGAGGAGACAACACTACCTACCTATAAATTAATGAGGAGCAAAATAAAATTGTTTAAAAGATTAACGTAAAGCTATATGACCCTATAGGGTTAATGAATGTGAATGACCAGCTTTACTGTGTGTGTGTGTGTGTGTGTGTGTGTGTGTGTGTGTGTGTGTGTGTATAACTGGGACATGGCAGCTGGAATGCTGTTGACTGACATAAGGCTTCAGTGTGTCCAAACAGTGATGTGACCACAGTGACAGTGTACACTCCATACACAAACACAAGGCACAACACTGACATACTTTATACTGCTCTATAAAACAAAACAAGTCAGTGGCCAAGGTGTACATACACACACACACACACACCCACTCTATCTCTAAAAATACCTTTTATGGGTTCTTGTTGGGCCCTTGAGCAAGGCTCCAGAGGTGCTGTATCATGGCTGACCCTGCGCTCTGAACGCAGCTTCCTAACAAGCTGGGATATGTGAAAAAAACCATTTCACTGTGCTGTAATGTATAAGTGACAAATAAAGGCTTCTTCAGCTTCTGCTTCTGCTTCTTCTTTGGATATTTCTTGGCTATCTAAAATATCTCTGCTTGATTGAAATGATTTCGATAATGAAACTCTCAGTTGTATGCTTCCCTTGAAGGATAACCAAGTTATTAATGTACAAATGATGGAACTCTCAGATGGCAATGATACCTGTGTATTATTGTGTATTATTTTCTTATGTCCTTAATTTATGTCATAGGCTGCTGGAGGATTCACAGAGTAAGAATTTCATTGCATAGTGTAACAGACTGTTTCCTGTACATATGACAATAAACTCTTGAATCTTTTGAATCTTGAATCTACCTGCTCCACTATCGTACCATGATCAAATTTCAGAGCTTGTGATTGGATGATTTAGTTGGTTAGCTTTAATTCTGTAATATCACATGGCTTTATAGTCTTACAGTGGCAAACATCCTGACTGAATCAAGTATTATAAATTATAAAATAATTTTAGTTGTAGAAACATACAGATACGCATGCACACACACTTACGCACACACACAGAAAAATCTTTTCTTATCATTTTACTTTTCATTCCATTTTACTGAGAAATGTTTCATGAACAGATTTTGTGTCTATTTTTTGTATCATATTAGCACCTTATCAAATGTTTTATCACAAAATATCACAGCACTTTATCTAATAATACTGTGGAGTGTGACTTACTTTGATTTAAGAAACTTACAAAAAAGTGAACCTTTTTTTTGTTTTGTATGGTTTTCCAGTAATAAAGTTAACGATGACATTACACTAAACCTGAATCATAAACTTGTCTGAATAGATTTCAGTGCTGGAATGTTTAAACCAAGAATACTTGCAAGATATGGAGCAAAATGAGTTTAGGCCACAGCTTTGCTGTTTAGTTGAAAATAAATGAATGAATAAATAAATGAAAATTCAAACGCTTAAAGTGATGTTTTATAACATTAAAATATGGTAAACAGATAAACAGTGCTGTACATAGAATAATAAAGTGTTTTATTATTATTATTATTATTATTATTATTATTATTATTATTATTTTAAATGTCATGTGCAGGCTTCCAGGATTCACTGATGATAGATGTCCTGAAACCAAACAACACACACAATATACTGTTTGTTATGCTGTAATACAGTACATTTGCATTATTTTTACTAACAGAAATAAATATTAATCTGTAAGGTTTTCAATCTGTAATTTTCCATTAAAGTTCACTGCTGGGGGTAGAGGCCGGTCTTCTGCACGCCGAACGCAGTGATGAAGATGTTGATGATGACGGTGAAGAACACTAGTGCAGTCGCTATGTTATTCATTACGTCCAGCTTTCTCTGATTGGCGACGATATTGAGATCTTTACGTGCTGATAGGAGAGGAAAGCAAGCAACAACATAAACCTGCTGCTCTCTCTGGAAACACCAACAGCCACAACATGTCTGAAAAGCTTGCAGTTTGCTTTATATACCTCTAGGCTGAAAAAGCAATTATGCTGCATTGCTCACCCATGAGAATGAAGAAAGCCCCAGCGAGCACTTGGAAGAAGAGTGAGACTGCGATGAGCACAATCACAGTCAGGTAGTACTTAAACTCGGGCCCTTGTTCCAGCACGGCTTTCAGCTGAGAAGCGTTGGCCATAAGCAGAGCCACATCCAGCATGCTTTCAGCCGCCGTCTTCTTAGTGGCATAGTGATTCATGTTGAGACGCTGTGAGAGAGGGAAATACCACATGACCACATTACCACATTAGCAACACAGTAGAGAAGTCATTATTCCAGCACATTCAATACAAGCAAAGGAACAGCAAAGGCTGTCTATATATCCTACATTTGCATGCAAATGTTAGGACACCCCTGGCCAGTTTGCATATTTTGTAGATTTTTGGACAGAAGTAAGTAAATATAACCTCAGCAGTAATCTATTTACAATATTTATATATGTAAATATATGTAAATATATTTACATACAAAGTAAGTAAATATAACCTTAGTAGTAATCTATTTTCTGCAAATGTTAATGCACAGTTATATTTGATTAACCTCAAAAATAGAAAAAGAAGTTTGGACACCCATCCAGTTTAGAAGTGTCAGAACTTCATTAAGTCATTAGAGCTTCATTGACTCATTAAGACTCGTTACTCACTGTCAGTAGGAATTGCCAGCTGATGACAGTTCCAGAGCGTAATAAATTCTCTGACTCAGAAGCTGACTAAGGATCTGCAAATGAAGCGATCCTGATGACTTGATGACTACAAAGCAGAGGAAAGTTATAAATAGATATGAAAGTGCTTCCAGCTCACAATTTCCACTGTCCAAAATGTCATTAAAAAATGGCAAGTAAGGAGAACTGTACATGTCAAGGCAAGATCTGGAAGACCAAGAAAGCTCTCAGATAGAACTGCCTGCATGCTAGGCAGAAAGTCAAAGCAAAAACACGCAAATGACACCTATAGGGCATGCAGGAAGATTTAGCTGACACAGGAATGGTGGTGCACTGTTCTACTCTGCAGCATTGCTTGTACAAACATGATCTGCATGGAAGAGTCATCAGAAGGAAATTTGGCCTGTGACCTTATACGACAAAAGCCAACATCTGATAGATAAGCCAGAGGCATTTTGGAAACAAGTGCTCTTTGGCCACAATCACCAAAGGTATGTTTGGCTGGAAAAAAGGAGTAGAATACTGTGAAAAGAACAGCTTTCTATGTATGCGTTATCTTGAGCTAGCTAGCTAGCTAATGAACCTACCAAGCTACTGAAAGCCCAGCAGCATTTGGATAATTTAGTTAGCCAGCTAACCTTACTTTTCTTTATATTCTCTTGATAATGGAGGTGGTGTTCACTTCAGCATAGCTCACTTGGTTAGTTAGCATAATTGTTCAAACATTCATTCCTCAGATATAGAACCTTTTCAGGTTAGTTGTGTCAATCATAGACAAGTTAAAAAAAAAAGTAATGCATAATTACTCAGGTATTAATCAAGTTGAATAATGTTCTTGATAACTACTTTTAATCAAGGGAATTATCACTACTAATTTTAGTCAAAGCAGTGTGGTTTGTACTCTTTCCACTACTTTCCCTTCATAGCAATCCACAGTGCTGTGTTCACTGTGCTGAGTTTGGATTCAGTTTTCAGAATGGAAAATATTTGGGTTTTTTTTCATTATCCACCAGAAGGGGGCAGCAAAAAACTGTGGAAAAGCAAAGAGCCCTGGAAATCATGAGAGCTCTGAGGTGCACTTCCACTTAATGATGAAGGAAGATGAAAGTATGGTTTAACAATGACTTAAAGGTGCATTAGATAAGATTAGTCTTTCTTTTGTTAGGACAGTTAGGTGGGTTCAACATTTGAATTATTTTTTTTTACTGCTTGAGCTCACACAGCCATTCCCGCCCATGTTCATGAAGCTCCTCCCCCCAAGACCTTAGGTGACCCATACTGTGTCTATAAAATGACTGATAGAAGGCGCATCCAAACACAAACAAGCATTCCTGACCGGAAGTCAGTTTTCCAAACAGGTTTTCTCAGTGACTTTATATACTTTTACTAAGGCTATGGCTTAAGCTAATGTTTTTAATCATGTTTTACATAACTTCCAGGTTATTCGTACAAGTATGGAATAAAAAAATCGACTATTGCACCTTTAATATCTCAAAGTCATAAGTATAATATGTAATATGTGATTATGCAATTACTAGGCCTGGGTCCCTGGGGGACTAGTGGTTAGGCCATGGCGCTCTCACCAGTGTGGCCCGGGTTCGATTTCCGGTCAGGGAACCAACCACTGGGGTTACACATGACAGTGCAGTCCCAGTGCCGGTCCCGAGCTTGGATAAAATTGGGGAGGGCTGTGTCAGGAAGGGCATCCGACATAAAAACTGTACCAAATCAAATATACAAATACCAGTGATCTGCTGTGGCGACCCCTAATGGGAACAGCTGAAAGAAGAAGAACAACATGTAATGACTAGGTGTACTCTGTAGTTATTCATTTGTAGGCCCACATGATTCCATAGCAATTGCAATTGTATAATTACAGAAACAAATAAACTGACATGTCGCTGACTACACCATGGGCACATTTACTATGTGATTCACAGCTTTATTCATGGCTTTGAGTATTTAATGATTTATTTATTTATTTATTTTATGCAAAATGAATTTGCACTTGAAACTGAAACCCATCAGAACACAGAGGGCTTAGAGCTTTTTTTCAATCACTGATGAGCACTAAGTTCTAAGACTGGTAGACGATCCGTGTATAGAGTCTTAATAATAAAATGGCTGAAAACGTTAATGTCTCTCAGAAAAACCTGACCAATTATGAGAAAGTAAGTCATAATCGCTAGAAAATCTCATTATTAAGACACTATTATTCATAATTCATAATCTTGAAGTCATAATTTCAAGATTTTTTCTAATGATATAATAAGTCAGAATTTCTAAAAAAAAGAAAAAAACCCTCTTATTTTTATAATACATTATTTATTTGCAACATTTAATTACAATGTTACAATATTTACAATATTAGTTTGTATTTAGGAGAACAGCTCAGGAGTTTCTCAACTGAGGTCCAGTCTACGCAAAACACAGAATGTGGTAGAATTTTTATATATAATACTGTATTTAAAGTTGTTTGCACTTAATATCCATGCAAACACTGTCTATAAATTGATGCATCAGCTGAGATATAAGAGTCAGAAACATTTCTTCATACTGTGACTTTGTGTATACAAATATGTATATGAATACTAAAGTCTTGACCTGCCTGTCACATCATAAAGCTAACCCTTGTGCAATTCTACCTTATCTTATGCTATACAGCACTTCGCTCGCCTCACCCATTTAGACTCTAATGACTCATTAGTCACCCTTGTTTTTTTTTCCACTGTCAGTCACCTTGGGACAGTAAAATGCTCAATTTTACAATTACTGATCCAAGCAAGCATGGATGACCAGAATTTAATGAAAGGCTCACAGCTCCAGGGTCCCTGGTTCAACCCTGATCCCAGTCCTCTCATTAATGTCTATGAGGAGTTTTGGATGTTGTTCCTGTGTCTGTGTGGGTTTCCTTCAGGTTCTCCAGTTTTCTCCACCCTGCCAACAACATGCCAGTAGGTGGTTTGGATGCTGTAAATTGTCCCTAGGTATGAATGTGTGTGTGCATGGTGCCCTGTGACGGACTGGCATCCTATCCATGGTTTATTCCTGCCTCACACCCAGTGTTACCAGGATTCACTGTGACCCTGACCAGGATAAAGCAGTTACTAAATATATGAACAAATGAATGAATTTTCAGGGTTTTTTTTTTTAATGGATGTCACTGTACATGATGTATTTCATGTCACCAGCAGATGGCAGCACTAGTTTCTTCTTAATCCTTGAATCTTGTTCACTTCTGGTCTTTGATAAGTATAATTTTTGCCCATCATACTGTATCTACAATAAACTCTACTGATATTGTATTGTAAAATTGTGATAGACATCAATGTATCTGGAATCCCTATTTGATATAATGTGTTTTTTTTAAAATAACAATTCCCAATCAATTCCTTACTTTTCCTGGACTATGACAGTGTATTAATATTACAATATTAACAAGTATAAGCTTATGTGTCTCCAGAGCTATTTTTCAACTCTCACAAATACACACACACACACACACACTCTTCTCTCACTCTCTCTCTCTGTCTCTGTCTCTCTCTCTCTCTTTCTCACACTCTGTGTGTGTGTGTGTGTGTGTGTGTGTGTGTGTGATCTTTTGAAGCCCCTCTTCTTATCTGCATCATCACTTACAGACATGTAGACAGTCTCAGTGATAATGTCTAGACCATTAAGGCCTGCCTCTTCAAAATATGACCTTTGGGTGTTTGTTTAAAAGAGGAGTAACAAGGCAGAAGAATGTCTGCCTTCAAGAAATCTCACATTTTCTCCATTCTTGTTAATCTCAGAACAAAATATTCATCATCCAAATCATGGAGCTCCTTCCACACATACATATATACACACAGTATATGTGCCTGGATAAAAAATAAATAAATAAATAAATAAAAATGGCAAAGCTTCAAACCTGAGCTGTAAATCACGCTCTAGTGAAACAAGAACTAGGCACATTTCCAAACACCACACGCGCCACGTTGCTGGACCCTTTTTTCCCTTCTCCCCCATAAAATAAACACCACAGGAGAGCTCAGGAGTGTTTTACAGAGGCACTTCATACAGCAGGCCTACAGGAAGTCCACCTCCCCGTCTGCTCATTGGTCGAGAAACTGTCCAATAGCGGATAAGAACAGTAGAGGAGGGTTCACTCAAACCCGAGACAGCTCTGTCTCTTTTTTCGGTTTGTTTTCTTTTTGCTTTACCACGTCTGAGGGCACGTGCAGAGGAAGAGGGCATCTCTGAGCACAAAGATCTGTGAATATGTGCTAAGATCAAAGTGCAGGAGATGGAGGAGATATAAAGAGAGAGAGTGGAAATGTGGGTTTGTCATCTGACAAAACAAAAACAGGACAGAAAGAGATAGAGATTAGATGAGAAAGCGTTGAGAAATCCCATCACATGTGTCATATGCTGTGGGAAAATGACCCTAAATACCATAATCTTCATTTTACCCTAGAGAGAGGCTTAGTAATTTAAAGGAAAGCAGGAAATGGTCACATCATCACGGCTTTCATCTAGCTCTCCGTTTCCTGTCATCAGTGTCTTCTTTATCATAATAGAAGCAGATAATTGTCATTATTGAATTAGTTCTGTACAGACAATGTCTTAATGTACTAATTCAGTGGTAAACAACATTTTAAAAATCCACGGCCCACAAAAGCTCCCTCAGCCCAAAAACAGGTTGGAACTGATCCATCTATTACTAATGCAAGCGCAGAAGTTTGTGTACCCTTAGGACAAAATACAGAAGGCAAAGGAATATAGCTCACATGTAGACATTTAATGTATTAGCTTATGCAAATGTTCTTTCATTAATTTAAAAAAAATCAATAAATAATAGTGTAATAAATAACAACATTGGTCAAATAGTATATTTTAAGATATTACATACTCACTCACATACAGTAAACGCTTATCCTGGTCAGGGTTAGGGGGAGTCCAGAGTCTATCCTGGGAGCACTGGGTGTGGGGCAGGAATACACCCTGGACGGGACACCAGTTCATCACATAGCATCATGCGCACACACTCCTTCACACCTGGGGGTGATTTATCCTATATTTATCAAAACCACCTACTGGCGTGTTTTTGTGAGGTGGATAGATAGATAGATAGATAGATAGATAGACAGATAGATAGATACGTATTTTTAAACAACCCCATTGTTCCTGATGTACTATAATTTCAATGTCATACACTGTCTTCTTGAAATCATAACAGCAAAATATCTTTACAAATTATTGTCTATGATAGACACAAATTTCATTATTAATTCTTCAGAATTAATTTTCCCCCAAATGAATTGGTATATAGTCCCAACCACCCAACATCACCCCACCACCACTCAGAAATCATTTGGGTTGGTGTACAAACTTTTGCACTGAACTGTACCTCAGTAATCAACAATGTTAATCAGAGAAAACAGGCCTAAAGCTAAAACATGACTTAACCAGGTCTTCACCTTGATTAGTTTTTAAATGAAATGAAATGATTTTATGAAAATTACGGTATATATGCTTGAGTAAAAAATGTTGGCACCCAACTGCAGTACCAAGATGATCCACTGGGGGGTCACAAACCACAGCAGGAAAAACACTGTCCTGTAGTTAAATAAATACTGTAGTCATTGGCTCAGAAGCCTGCCCTGCTCCACAAACATGTGCTGTTACTATTAATCTCATGTTTCTATACTCTGAAGCACTGAAGAATTCAAGGTATTCAGCTTTGAGGGCCCAAGACAAAGTTATTTTTTTTAGCAACTAATCTAGTCATGAGTCATGTTTGTTAACTGAATCAGGTCTCACTTTCCTCCACATTCTTGCCTGCTTTATTCACTGAAGTGTGATCAGTGGCTGACAAAACTGACTGATTGTTTATCATCAGAAAATGACAGAAATGCAGCAAAGATGTGCTACAGGGCTTTTTGAAGCAGTCAGCCTCGTGACATTAGCTCACATTTTCCTATTTCGCCCTTGGGCAAGGCATCCTCCTTCAACATATCTGTATCTCTCTTATCTGTTTGTTAGCTGTTAGATATGAGATTGGGTAAATCCATTTTTTATTGTGAGAAAATGCTTCTTTATCTCCTGAGTTAGGTAATAAGATGAGATTCAGTACCAAACAAATAAAAACATGGGCTAAATGTTTATTTTATCAACAACTTCCAGCTGAGATATTACTTTCTGTTTTTATTCGAATGAATGATACAAAAAGTATCCTTGTAAGTAAATTTAGTTCAGTATTTAGTCAGTTTATTCAGAAGAATATCATTATTACATTGATTGACTGAAACTGTTGCGATAACCACCAAATCAGTGGCAGAATATATATATACATATATATATATATATACATATATACACTAAAGAAATCTTTAAAAAAAAATACCTCAGGTTAGTCTCACATGATAATGCTATTTAGCTAACTTTTCAGCCAACTATTGCTCTGCTGTTGTAAACAGTGTCTAATATAGCCTAATATAGTGTCTAACATACAGTCTCTATACATTTCCTTTGTCGTATAATCGCTAAAATTATACCACAGCACTGTTGAATTCTTGATTATAATTGGTCAGAAGGTGTTGACTAATTTTCTACACAGCAGCTGCAATTCAAATCAC